ATATGGAAGTAATATGTAAAAATATGTAACATCAACATTAGATTTTTTTTCAATTGTACTCTCAATATGCATCGAAGGACCTACACATATAGATTAATAAGTATATGTTGTGATAAACGAACATAATAAAAGATTGCCTTATTTTTCAAGGTTGAGTACAATATAAATCAGGAATAGGTGTAAGTTGTAAAATATATTTGGAAGAAAAGGTCTTACCTTCATTAGAAATAACATTGCCAACCATAGCTTTAAATGTATTAATTTGTTTTGTAATAAATTTCTTTTTTTTTTTAGTTGTTTTATCTGCAGATTCATCAATCAGTCCCATTTTTTCCAAGAGACGTTTCTTTTTATTATTATTCTTTTCGGTTCGAATTACTTGCAATTTTGCAAGATCAACAGATCGAAGATTAAATTGATGTGATGGTGGTAATTTAGCAACAAAATCATTTTCAACTTGTGAATCTTGATCGTCTTCATCCAATTGAATACCTGAAACAATACAAACAACACTTAAAAGTGATATACATGTGAACAGATTTCCAAATTTTGAACGTATCTTTAGATTCTTGTATCGGTTTTTTTGTTTCTATCAGTTTCCAAAAATAAAAAGTTCGATTTACTTACTTGAAGTATCTATTGATGTTGATAAAGTCATCGACTCAAGTTGAGTTGAGCGTTGCTGTATCAAAGAATTATCTGAAAATATATCTGAATAGAAAAACAAATGAAGCAAATTAAATCAAAGGTACTACCATTTAAATTGGAAGAGTTTGTATCACTAAAAGAATTATCATCAATTGAAGCAATATCCATGCAATTATTCGAAGGAATAGATTCTTCGTCTGATAATGAAATTTTCGATATAAGACATTAAAGATAATACAAATACTAATGAAAGAAAATATTTTACGCACATCTTCATAAATATCACAAGCTTTATCAAAACACTTATATGAAAAAACTGTTGGTGTTGATGAAATTAAAATTGAAGATGAATGTATTGGAGATGATATCGGCTCATCATCCGATAAATATATTGAATCCTGTGGCATTTTAACATAACATAGTATATAAGCATCTTTATGATTAAGTACTGAATCTAAATGAACTGGTGTAACTAGTTCATCATCTGCTTTATACCAATATCCATCAGGAGCACGCACATAAGCAAACACATGACCATTAGTTACATATTCACCTTGATGTACAATTACACTATTCAATTTATAGATAAAACTATAATCTTCATTTTCTTTGTTTGATTGTCGACTAGTTTCATCAAAATAATAATCAAGTGTAATTGTTTCCGGATAAGCTATAACCACATTAATTTTACGAGTTGAATTAAGTTTTACATCATGATCAAATCGTTTTAAATGAAAAAATATCACAGGTGATTCTTTATTAATTTTAAATATTTTGTTCGATGGTACTCTTTTTCCACAATTAGAACATGAATATAAATCACCATTTTTTAATTCTTCAATGCTGAAGTATGCTGACAGACTTTCACTAAGATTTGAATAACAAGATATGGGTAGAGATAAAATACTCTCCCAAGTATCAACACTTGATCGTTTAGAACAAATTTTGCATTCAATAATAGAAACCATATTTAAACCAAATATTTGTTGAATTGGTTGTATAGATGAATTTATATCAACAACAGCTTCATTAATTGTTAGACAGGAAACAAGACGATCTAACAAAAAGATTAAAAATTCTGATGGATCTCCTTGCTCACCAAAGGTAAATGTTGGAGATAATTGTTCGATTTGTTGAGCAAAAGGTTCTGCAGTTGCATGAGGAGAATTTAATGAATTGTATTTATTACGAGGCTCACGATGAATGTCACGAATAATTCTATGTAGTGTGCAAAAAGAACAAAGTTTGTTCATAGCCATTAGCTGACCTATAGAATGAACACAAAGCTCATGACAATAGTGATTTAGTATTATATATTTGCACATCAATCGAGTACAAACTGAAACTATTAGTATAGCCACTTCAGAATCAATATGTAAAAAACATTTAAAAATATTTTTTTTATTCAGTAAAAGTTTCGATGGATGATATTCTCAAATAGAAAAGCTTATTTGTGATGATAAAATGAACTTACTTCTCTTCGATTATTTTTACTTCCTTCATTTTTTATTATAATGATCGAAAATTGAACACGACTGCAATCACTACTCAATTGCTTTGCGATAAGTTGTTTCTTCAAAAGAGTCACAATTAAGCATTATCAAAGAAATGAAAAAATCAAAGCGCATCACCATCGACTTAGTGAATAGCGAATAGCTACTATGTTGTATGAAATAAAATAAATAACTTCTGCTCATAAAACACTCACCAGTAAATTATCACTTCTTATTCATATTCTTGACTCAAAATAATAAGTCTGAGCAAGACTTATTTGATACAAGATATTTTACAAATTAGATGATATTATAGAGCTTGAGCATTATTATTGATCAACAAACTAAAAACATATATAATATATGTCAACGAAAAGACATCCTTTTCTTCCTGTTAAAAAGAAGAAAGCAACTTTACTGCTGAATACTTTTCTTTTTTTTTTAATTAAAATTTCGAAAATGCGATATAATAGACAGTACTAACAAAAAAAGAAGTATGACGACATTTCAAATGAAATTCTATGTGTTGATAAGACAAGAGAAAAAAAATAGCATTAGAACAGAAAGAAATGTTTAAAGCATCTTACAAAATAAATTCAATTACATCGTTTTGTATCGATTAGACTCTTTAGTTGTAAATTAATTAATTGTAGCTTTTCTTTTTTTTCTCATTCTCGATTGTAAAGCAATTGATTCCAATTAAATTGTTGTTGACTTATTTGACCACAACGTGATTGCAGCTAAGAACGAAGTATAAATGATAAGAGAAATCTTCTTTGCGAAGAGTATATCAACTCAACAAAATAAATGTTTATGTGTAATCAGAAACAATGATGAATATAAAGCAAACGTATCCCAATATCTTTTCATCGTAATATTATTCTATGTTCATATGTTTGAAAATGAACTTCATCATAATCAATATCGCATATACATAATGCAAAATGAAAAAACATAATGACTCTTACAAAGAGCGATTGTCAAACAAGAAGAATTTGTTATTGTATAGTTTTATAAATAAACGTTCCTAGTACCATTATACATAGTGAGATATGGAATGAAGAATTCTTTCTAAATGTATATGCATCAGAAGAAATAGTCCAATTATATGTTATAGACTTGTAATTTAGTATCACTCATTGAGTATGCAAAAATTATTTCGAAAAAAAACTATTAAAAGACGACATAAACATGATCAATTCGTTTACTACATAAAAATTTATATACATGCATGGTGGATAAGAACTGAAATCACGTACATTCATCAGGAGCACAATTCTGTAATAGCCACTCAACAAAAGGAGCCGTATTTGCCAAACATTGAACAATTGAGTTAATGTAACAAAGATTTTTTGATTTTCCATATTGATCATGATTAGATAGACCATCACCAGGAATTTTTATCGATTTCCATTTCTCCTTTACAAACTTATATGGTGAAAAAATATTAACTATATGTTTTGATGTTGTACATGGTACTAAAGAAAAAAAAATTATTCAACAAAAAATTTAGGGTTTATTTACGTGGTTCATTAGTTATAGTTGAGCTGGTGATAATCTCTTGGTCATTAATAGCATGTAATGATGTTTCATTTAAAGATTTTAATTTTGTACACTCCTACGGAAATAATTAGACTATATCGAGCATCTTCCGTCATCAGAACTTACTTTCGGAGAACTGCTAATATCAATCATTTTGTCAATTGTTGCTAGATTCATACAATTCAGTTTTTTTCTTATATCAATTAAAAATTTTGTTGCGGCTTCTCTTATATTATTATTATTTTCAAGAGAGCATATAAGTGTGTATGGTACATGGTATGCAACAGCTACCAAAGCTTTATTTACTCCTTTATTTATTTCTTTTAGACATGTTTTAAGAGTTTTCTCTAACTTAACAGTTGATTGAATACCAAATCTTTTTTTAATCTCAGATGGTTCACCATACAAGTCTTTTTGTATTTGATCAATTGAAATACGATGCAGATGAGCAACAAGTTCTAGAGATTCTCCATCTTCATTGAATGCATCAATAGCTGCAGCTGCTCGATTTTGAATTTTCCTATAACGATGTTCAAGATGACCATTATGAATAGACCCATTAATCGTTCGAATATTCAATCGCTTCATAATTATTCTTTTTAAATATCTAGTAAATTCCAAAAATTTTGTTACTCTTTAGATTAAAGAAAGATTTCAATTCATTTGCTTTGAAAATTTATTTAAAAATTATGGAAGTAGTTATGAATACATTTTCAAGACAATTTATTCTTTACAATCAATTCATATGTTATGATAGGATAATAAAATTCACAAAAGGTTCACGTGATAAGTGAATTCACATTATATATTACAGCTGTTCCAATCCATCGATATAGAAAGAGATGATTGGATGATGGTAAAAAACGGATTCGTTGTTTGATTGGCTCGTTACCCCTAGCTGAAGTGAGCATTATTTCTTATGTTTACATGTTGTGCTCACTTCACACAACCTCTTATAGCCTAGTTTATGTACTCAAAATAAGAGATCTAACTATCAATCTATAGAGAAGAAATCAGAAAAATAAAATGTGTATACATTTTTTTTAGATACCCTGTAGATGTTACATGGTATTCTTGTGAAAA